ACCCGGCGATCCGAAACCCTAAGCCAGCACGATGTGGTGGAGGTAGTTCAAAGTCAACTCAATGACACGAGCCAAACTCAATTCATCAGCTGCAGACTCGAGACTCCGACGACGGCCAAGCGATAAACGCAGCGCCGGAAGAACTTCGGCTATTCGTCAAAGCATCGAATAGACCGAAAATCGAAGGAGCCAAGAGTTGAAGCTAACCACAGGACCTTACGCCGACTGAAGGCCAGACCAATCACATCCAAAGTATTCCAGCCTCTTCTATAAAAGAAACGAGTCCGGAACACTTTGGAGGGGGTATCTGTAGGCATCAAAAATTGCCTATAGGTCTCCACGAACGGTTCAGTGTTAAAGAGCGACGATGAACGTCACTATCTGATCCACAGGAGTCCAAACGACGTCGATGAACGACCGAAGTGAATCGACGAGCTACGTAAGCTGATAGGATCTCGGAACAACGAAGACCCGGACCAATCGGGAACCCAGCACTGTTCACAAAAAGGACAACGCCCTTCGCGCCTCGACCACTCTACAGATAATCCAATCACCAGAGCGGATCGAATTCTTCGTCAAGCATCCAACGCACCCGGAATCACTCAAATCCGAGTCCGGACGAAGAATCTACGGGGAAAACAACTCAAACACCTTTAATAGAGTCTCGGGAGGTCGAAACACCCGGGGGGTGTCTAGGAAAAGCCTAGACACCCCCAGGGGTGTCTCGGCCAGGCCAGATCCTTAGTATCGGCCTTAGCGTTGATACTAAGAAGAGCTATTACCTCGCTTTAGCCGAGGTATACGCTTATAGCTTCTAGATCTCACGCGGATCGACGAAGTTCTGCTTCTAAATCCCCTCGCGGATAGACGAAACTCTGCCCGATTTTCTCGGACCAGATCTGAGTGCCCCGGTGGTCCACGGATATCAACATCCCCGTCACAGGCAAAAGACCCACGCAAGCAAGAGATGACAAACAGATCTTGCGTTTGTTTGAAAGGAGTTGTATTTCTTTTGTTTTCATTATGTACCGGTCTTATAAAAAGGCTATCTTTTTGTTTCATTGTAACGATTAAAGTTGTAATGAATGCAGCAATGAATACAGCAACTTTTTCCGCAAACAAAACCTTAGACCCATGAGTTCATATTGATTTCATCTCGTTTAAAAAACCCCTGGTTAAGTATTCATGAGCATTGAATCAAGTTTTATTCATATAAGTTAATAAAAAACCCGAGCTTTGAAAAAAAATCAAGTAAAAACCCAAATCTGTGAAATTTTGGTCTGTTCAGTCGACTGATTTTGTCATCAGTCGACTGGCGGGCTCGACTGTGCGTGTGATTTTTGTGACCTCAACTTATCAGTCGACCGAAGCTTTCGCTGGTTGACTGATGAAGCTCAATTTTGTGAGTTTGACCCTTTTACATGTGGGTTCGACGTACGAGTGTGTAGTGAATGTCGTTCGATGTTCTATACACATATTTTAAGGAGTACACGTACGGAGATTAAGTACGTAAAAATCCATTGTTTGAGATAACCAAATAGTTTGTATTCGTTACGAGTAACGATTTGTGTAGTTAGCCTTTATTGAAGATGTTGAATGGGGTTAGTTGGGGCCTACAATGAGACCGCGGATGGACTACACTCTGAGTGCGTTAGTCAGGACCGCAATGAGATCGCGATGGACTTCACTCCTTTATGTATTTTTGGTCTGCACGATTGTACGTAGAGATTGTTGAACCTATGATTTGGGTCCGCATGGTTATGGGCAGAGGTTGATATACCTATTTATCGGTCTGTACGGGGGTGCGATGAGTTGATATACTTATTTATCAATCCGCACGGGTGTGCAATAAGTTGATATACCTATTTATTGGCCCGTACGGGGTGCGATGAGTTGAAGAATTCCAGAGAAGGACGATCTGATAATTTGATGATAACCTAAGTGTAGGTGATTATTGACACTCGATTGATATGATATATTGTGAAGGTATTTCACCACTTGGTTACATGGGATAGTGAATCAGTATCTGATTTGCCTACTAAGGGTAGTATGTGGAGTTGAATGACAGTTTCGGGAATGGTTGATATGATTTTTCCTATATTGTCTCCTTATTATTTTATTTCCTAGTTGGGATTTATATTTAGAAATTTATAACTTAAGACACATAGTGTATACATGAGGGTTTCCTTGTTTAAATTATTTCGCTCAACATACCAATCTCGTGTTGTGGATTTCTAAATATAAATTTCATGTAGTACAGGGTAAAATGATTTAGGTAGACTATGCACTTATAGATAGAGCCTCCATCATACTTAGCCCTTTCTTTAGGGGTAGATGGAGATGATCTTGCTAACACTCTGACGCTGTGGTTTTCACGTCTTTTCAGGCAGCAGAGCAGAGTTTCGGAGAGCCGTAGGTTAACGGACTTTCAGCATAGTCATCGTCACTTATTTATAGCAGTTTCTTCTCCACAGATGTTTAGTTTTGATTCTAGTTGATTATTAGATTTGCATTTTATTTTGAGAATTCAAAACTTATGTATATTTTTCAGTTGACTCTTGTAGTTAAGATTTTTGGATCATTTGTATCAGATTGTTGGACATATTTTCTTTTATATCTGTTGAGACCTGATTATCTAAAAAATTATCATTTATGTCTATGTTCTATTTCCTATATTTATCTATTTTATATCTGCTTGTACATGTACTGTCTTATTTGATTCCACTAGAGAGATATTACTGTGATGGTGAAACATATCATTACACAGTATAGGTGCATGGCAGGTTTAACATCCTTAGATTCACCTCGGACTGTAGCCTTGTGTAAAACCAGGAGCGTCACACCTTGCCTATATCCTCATGCCAACGACCAAGGTGACCTGCTATTGGAATTCTAAATCTTGATAGCTTAGGGCGGACCCAAGACTTCACTAGTGGCTTAGTGGAAGGAGAAGAAGATGAACCTGAAACGGAAGCCGAAGCAAGAGTAGAAGTGGTCGCATAAGGTGGCCTTTGGGCGGGACAGTGTTTACTGTCCCGCCCAAAGGCTCTTTGGGCGGGACAGTGAACACTGTCTCGCCCAAAGGGGCCGTCTTTGGCTACCTCTGGGCCTCGATTTTGCGCAAGTCTGGACTTTGGAATCCAAATTTTGCGGGATCTTGATGGTTCTTTAGCCATCTCTCTCTTCTTCAACTCTTGCGCCTTTCGCACAAGAGCACGAGCGTGCGCGGTATGTGCACGGAGCTTTTGGATGCGCTCTTTCTTGGTCGAATGAGTCCTCTTGATGAGAACCCATTCCTCTTTCGATGGTTTGGAGGAAGTATTAGCAACTTGTTGTTGAAGTGATTCATTTGCTCGACGCTTCCGTGATTCTAAGTCCGCGTAGTAGCGAACTCCATCCATCTGTTCCATGGCCCTTGCAAACTGACTGGTCTTTCGCTAGCATTGTCTCTGATGAGACCTCTTCGTCAGAGTTGGTGAACTTTCATTCTTATTGATTGACTCCTTAACTAAGGAGGAGCCACTGTGAGCAGAATCTCCAGCCTTGTAGATTGTCGGAATAACATTAAGAGGAGGAGCCTCGACAACTGTTAGGTGAGAGTCATCACCCTGCGTCTCTATTTGTGCGGGAGACTGGAAAGCCTTCTTCGAAGACGAGACCCTCCTACACTTGCAGGGAGAAAAGGATCTTGATGAAGACAATGAGAGATACTCCTCGAACTTGACTTGGTCGAACTCGTATTCTAAGCAATCGACCATTGAACCGACATGAACATTGCTAGGCTGCAACACGACAGTCTCGATAATGGAACTGTTGGCTTCCACTGTGGTCGCCAACGTGTTTGCCTCGGGAACAATTTCCTTTGTAGCTTCCATTAAAACTTTTAAAAGGAAATAAAAGAACAAGCTTTACAAGTGTAACTCTCTTCTTTACAAAGAAAACAAAAAATTAATCCCTAGTAACACGTACAAAAACTCCTACGTAGTAGCCTCTGCTTATGTGTGATTCTTTGTCTGTGTCGAGAATGCGTTATCCGTGGACCACCGAGTAACGTTTCCAAGTCGGAGACGAAGAAGGCTTAAGGTTAATGTTTCAGCAAGGAAAATAAGAACCGAAGTAAGTGTCTTAGCAAGGTAAGACAAATACTCTTCTCAAGATCAAGTCTAAGCTCGAACTTAAGGAAACACCAAAATACTATGAGAATGCTCGGGAGTGAATGAAAAACTCTCTCTTGCTCTCAAAGTTTGCCAAATGTCAGCTTGGTACCCTGCACAAGTATGTAGGGGAGTATTTATAGTGGTATGGAGCTATAACCATCGAAGAGAAAGCAAACACCCCCCATGGCCACTCTCCCATGCTTGTGAGACAGTGTTTACTGTCTCGCCCAAAGGAGACAGTGCCAAGGGGTTTTGTAACTGTCACCCCCACAACCTTGAAGTGCGTTAAATGGCACACTTTTCATGGATAGTAGGCGTATTTTCTAGGGTGAAGCTGCCCATGACAATTAATGAACTTCCTCAAACAGTTATGGAGCCAAGTAGACTACACAAAATCCCACAAAAGCACCATGTGAACTTAGGAGACTGTCGCACAGTTTGACACAGTCATCACCGTCTCGCATTGTCTCGCATATGCGAGACAGTGGAAACTGTCTCACAAACAGTGAGACAGCTCTAAGTCTCCTTTAGCTTGGCGTTTTGTATCTTCCTTTGCTTTCCTTCGTGTTGGTTGGTCTCTTCTGACTTAGATGATGACATTCTTCGTATTCTCTCTGACTTAGGCTAAGTTTAGGACCCATAGGCAAATTTTAATACCTACAAACCCTTATTCTCCTGTTACTTGAAAAATGAAAAAGCAACAAAACACACTTTTAAGAGAACTAGTCAGAGCATATCAATGGCTATTTCAACTGTTTAGTACATAATTGTTATGAAGTCCTGCTCCAATATCAACATGTTACAGATCTTGAATATGAATATGAAGCTCAACTCGTGCCTAAAAGTAGTAAACACCCAAAAGAAGGGTGAAAATCATAAACTAGGGTTCCAACGATGACAGAGCCTCATGGATAAGCGTTTCCGTGAGAGCCATTGGAAGTCCCATCACACTGTCAGAAGCACCAATCTGCACAAAATTGAATCTTGATTTATTAACATATTTCCATTTTTTCTTTAAAAACATAGAAGCAAGTATTGAACAAGATATGCGATCAGATGATAACAAACAACTGCTTCAACTAAGGGCAAAGTAAGTGGATGCTCTAGAAGTAAGCCTCCTGCAACTCGAAATACTACTCCCTCGTCAATCTAGATCAACCCAAAAGAAGAAGAAAAATCCCTATCAGGACCAACAAGAGTCAACAAATTTCAATTAAATGAATTTGATTAACATGAGTACAAAATAAGGGAATTTACCAGGTTTTCGATGATTTCATCTGGTATATCATGGAAATAGACCTGGAAAACATTGGCAGATAAATGAGTCTTGACCTCAATCACAATGTGTCAATCTCTTCCTGATTTGATCAGAGTGGCTCAGAAACATAATAATACTTCTAGTAAATCCATAGTAGCCCAGTGTGTATTAAAAGGTCGGCATCAGAATTAATCTTTGCCCTGGAGTATATACACCACAGAGAAAAGCTTTATGAAAGATTCAAACTTAAACTGCATATTTATGAATTTTCTAGATTGTTATGTTCATATCTAAGCCAAGCTTCTAACCTGTCTTGGAATGCAACACCTACATACCATTAACGAAGATAAAAAATTATTAATCTAAATTCTTTTTTATTTTAGGCAAATATAGAAAAAGAAAATTACGAGTCAAATGACAAGGTGTGTACTACCTCAGCTTTGTCCAGCCCTCCACTTCGTTTGCCAGTTTTAAGATTAGTAACCAGTACAGAATTTACAGTTGATACATGACCTCCAGAATATCCTGAGAAAAATGTAGCATAGTCATTCACTGTAAAATTGATTTCAAAACAAACTATGACACATAAAGGATATTTGAGAATCAAGTGAGACTCCTCAAACCTTTGAGGAACTGCCGTGCTTCTTCTCTACTAGTTGGTTTTTCTCTGATTATCCCTTCATGAACCACCACCTCAAAATTGACTATAATTTAGTACAGATAATAATACAATAAGTCCAACCTCTCCACTCAAATACTTAAGAGGAAATGATGTTGATGGTCTTGTCTTAATTTAAAAACAATCTCTGATCTACTGGGAGCTAACAATACAAAGTCAAAAGTTTTCCACAAAAAAGGATTTGGCGCTTTATATCTACTTATATGTGAACAAATGAACGTAATAACTAGCCTATGATCCATATTAAAGTTACGTCATCATGGATCCTCTAAGGAATGAGTTGTAAGTGTAACGGTGTAGAGCTTGTGATATCAAATATAATGAACAGACATCACTGCTCACAATAGAGAAAAACCATGATCCTTGATGAAGTACCCTTCTGCTACACCACCTTTGAAGTTGTACCGAGGTTTATAATTTTATACTAACATTGGACACATGCAGTGGTATATTTATACTTTAATCCATTTTAGATTCGTGGCCACTGGTAATTGACCCCAGGTTACTGATAATCATATTTTATTATAATTTTATATCTTCATTATCTATTTTTTATGAATAAATATACCACTAATAATTATGTTTATCTTTAATTGCAGGTTAATGAAGAATAAATTCCAAAAAATCTCATCTCTCATCAAAAGCCCTTGATTTAATGAAGAAATGAAGCAAAAGAGAAATCAAGAAGTCCATTGGAAAATCAAATTGCCAATTTATCCAAAAGCCCAAAGCAAAAGGATCAAGCCATGAATTAATGAAGCCCAAAACGCCAAAGCCCATGAAGCAAAACCTTACCTCTTGTATGTATTATGAACAATCCAAAAATCAAGCCAGAAGCCCATGAAGCAAAAGCCCAGAACCTTACCTCTTGTATGTATTATGAACAATCCAAAAATCAAGCCAGAAGCCCATGAAGCAAAAGCCCAGAACCAAAACAATGAAGCATGAATCATGAAGAAATGAAGCAAAGTTCAAAGGAAAATCAAGAAGCCCAATGGAAAATCAACAAGCAAAAGGTCCAAGAATCCAAGCCCAAAAGCTCAAAGACTAAAAATGATTCCTTAGGGCTTAAGTCTTCATCCAAGGGCTCTCATTCATTGTTGTTTACTATAAATAAGGGTAGAGAGTGAGGGGTTAAGGGTGTGAAAATTTTTATAACTCATTTTGGAGAGGAGGGCTACTCTTAATTGAGAAGGTCTTCCAAATTTATAACTTTTTGTTACAATTAATAAAAGAATTTTTTTACCACTTTAAATTTTTCTTTTCTTCTCTTTGTTGGACGATGAAGATGAACATGAAGATGGAGATTAATTTGAAGGTTTGTTTTTCTTATTTCTCTTTTATTGCTTATTAGTTTAGATTTATTTTCATGCTTGTAATTAGATTTTATTTTCTTGTTTAAATAGCCAAGAGGCTAGAACCCTCTTGTCTTAGATTTATTTCAAGCTTATAGAGTAGATTTATTTTCTTGTATTTAATTCTTGCAATTTATTTTATAGTTTAGATTTTATAATTTATTTTGTAGTTAGATTTTAATTTCTTATACTATTCACCTTGAGGCTAGAACCCTCTTGGGTTTAGTTTTTCTTTTTGTTTACTTTTATTAGAGGGTTCAGTTTTTCTTTTTGTTTTTTTTTATTTTCTTTGATTCGTCTTTAGGCTAGAACCCTCTAGGGAATCACCATTTTCTAAGAAGTGGATTCAATTCTAGATTACCCATATCTTTAATTGAATCCTCCATCTTTATTTTCTTGAATTTTATTTTCATTCTTGATTTTTCTTTTTGATTCTTGATTTTATTCATCTCTCCTTGTGGAAATCATTTATTCATTGTCACATCCACTATCACTTACATTTTGTGCCTATTTACACATTATCACCTTCTTAATCTCTTCACAATCACATTCACTCATCACTCCTATTTGTCACATACACAACATAAGAACCGATTTTATATTTTCTCCTACAAAACAATTTCCTCGTGGGATCGATATCTTTATACTATAACTTGACACAGTTGTGCACTTGTAATATTTTTTTGGTACATGTTTATGCCACATCAAGTTTTTGGCGTCGTTGCCGGGGAAGGTGCTTAAGTAGGTTTTAATTATTTTGGTTCTTTAACTTGTGTGTTTATTATGAAGGAAACGCTTGGAGCTTGAAGATCGCGGATTGGAGAACTAGGATTTGAATATTTGCTTGTAGGTAATTCTTCTTTCTAGAATTTTTAATTCCACCCTTTAGCTACTTCTTCACAATTTGAGACAATTAGTACTTAAAAAAAAGATTTTATTTTTGTTGATCATAATAAAATTCACCCTCCACTTTAACATTTACTAACAATATAATAAATTCAAATAATTTCCCCTTTCTCATTTGTTTGATTGTTAACCCTAATTAAAAAAAAATTCTTTTCCATCCTTTTTAGTTGCTTTTAATTCATAGGGTTGCATTTCATATTGTTAGTAGGAATTCACCAAGTGATTTGAGCATCTTGATTTGGCACACACTTAAAAATATTTTTAAGGGCAAAACCCCATATTCAAAATAAGGTGAGGGATTTCATCACCATTCCCTTCGCCCAAAAATCACTAATTCCTCACTACACCATCCAAACCTAATAAAACTTATTAGACGTTGGCCCTAAGGATTCGAGCTCAATAAGGAACAAAGAATCATTAAGTGAACCGGTTTAAGTTTTTTTGGATTAGTTGGTATCTAAGGCAAGGTTTAGGGGTTGCGTAAAGCGCTCCGCAAGGAACGGGGTACTTAATTAATCTCTGATCACCCTCTAGTACTATCCTTACCTGGCTAACTACCCGGGTAAAACTTTAATCTTTTCACTTTAGGAGTTTTTGGTTAGAAGCTATTCTAGTTGAGTTAGGCTTAACCCTAAAGTTAGAGTAATTGAAAAGTGATTGATTTTGATTTGTTTTAGTTAGAATTTTCCTCTTTTTCCATTCACTCCTCATTAAAAAAAAACTAACTTTTATAATAATAAAAAAAGTATAAAAAGAAATAGTTTTGGTGTATGCAACCGTGGATTAGGGATAATACACATCGATTAATTCGCTTTGAACCAATCATAGAAATGGCGTATCCTAACCCACCCGTTCTTCAAGATATGTGCTATCCCATTAGGAATGTAATCCCCTCTTGTATTAGGCTCCCCGAAACAAATGGAACCCAAATTCATTGGAAATGAAACAGAAGATGCATATATTTTTATCTCGGAATTTGAGGAAGTGTGTATTATGATTAAAATGAGAGAATTAACAGAAGATGCGATCAAACTCAGATTTATTCCATTTGCTCTCAAAGACAAAGCAAAAAAATGGCTGTATAGCTTACTCGTAAATTCCATCACTACTTGGGAAGAATTTATCACCGTTTTTCTTAAGAAATTTTTTCCTATCCATAAAATAGTGAAGCTAAGAAACAGCATCATGAATTTTAAAATTATCTCGGGAGAACCTTTTTAGAAGTATTTTGACCGATTTAAAGATCTTCTAATCCAATGTCCTCATCACGGTTTAGAAAAATGGCGATTCATCCAATGTCCTCATCACGGTTTAGAAAAATGGCGATTGTGCCAAATAATTATGAGGGATTAGATTATTCTGCAAAAACTTCCTTAGAATCAATGTGAAATGGCGATTGTGCCAAATAATTATGAGGGATTAGATTATTCTGCAAAAACTTCCTTAGAATCAATGTGTCACGAGGATTTTATGAGGAAAAATACCGACGAAGCTTGGGAATTTTTAGAGAGTCTATCCGAGAAAACAATGCAATGGGAACACTGTGATGACAGGGTTTCATCAGTTCCCTATTCTAAGTCTAGTGGTCTTTCCTTGGAGTCAAACATTGTTTCTGAAGCAAAGATGGTGATAATTCTGCGGAGGTTAGAAGCCTTAGAAATTAAGGAACGAGCTCCAGCTCAAATCAATCATGTTTCTGCCTCAGGATGTCATAATTGTCAGTCTCATACCCACGTTTCAGAGGAATGCCCTCTCCTAGGAAACAATAATGCATTAGAACAGATGAACGCTGCATTCCAACATCCTAGAAATGATCCATTTTTTCCAACCTACAATCCAGGTTGGCGAAATCATGCCAACTTTGCATGGAATTAAAGAAATTCTCTCGGAACTCAAAACTTCACTCCCGCTTCGACCTAACATTTTCCTAGGAGAAACACACTTCCTTTCAATTCTCATTCACCATTTCAGCAACCCAATCTGCCGTATCAAAATCAGTCTCCTCTTCATCAAGCTGTAATTCAGACTCATCACAATCCAGATCAGGATAAACGTCTCAATGTCTTGGAAAGAGGTTTGGAAACCATAATTAAGGCCTCCACTCAAACCACGAATATGTTGACTCAAACGTCTAACACTCTGAATTCTTTCATGCAATCAACTGGACAAATGCTCAACTCTAACACTCAAGATATAGCTAGATTAGAATCCCAACTTGATCAACTAGCTAGTGCCGTAAGTGAAAGAGAGAAAGAAAAATTTCCGAGTCAACCCGTGATCAACCCTAAAGACACAGGATGCAGTTCATCCTATGAAGCTCAAGTGAATGCAATCCATTCACTTCAGTCGGGTAGACAGGTCAATAATCAAGTGAGAACTCCTTCAAGTCAAACTTTTGATCCAATACAAATTCCTTCTCATTCTCCTTCTGATGAATCTATTCAATCACCCCCCTCAGATGACCAAGAACCCGAACCCGAACCTGAGCCTGTTTTTTATAGATTTAGACCAGTTGCTCTCTTTCCAGATAGACTCAGGCCTAGGAAACACTCTCCTCAGGAAGAGAAGATCCTAGAAAAATTCAAGCAGGTTAAAGTCATTATTCCTTTCTTAGATGTAATTGAACAAATTCCATCTTATACTAAATTTCTAAAAGAATTATGCACTAAGAAGAGGAGAATAAATGTTCCAAAAAAAGTCTTTTTAGCCGTCAATATCAGTGAAATGCTATCAAATCTCATACCTTTAAAACGTAAAGATCCAGGTTCCCCCATCATTTCATGTATCATTGGTAATACTCACATTGATAAGACGCTTTTAGACTTAGGGGCCAGTGTCAATTTGCTTCCATATTCAGTCTATCAGCAATTGGGTCTAGGTGTACTGAACCCAACCAGATGCACTTTACAGTTAGCTGATAGATCTGTTAAGGTCCATATGGGTGAGTTAGAGGATGTTCTGATTAAGGTTGGCGATTTTATTTTTTCAGTAGATTTTGTAGTCTTGGAAACACAGCATGTTTCCAATCCCAAAGGACAGACACCTGTCATCTTAGGACGACCTTTCTTAGCCACTTCTAATGCTTTTATCAACTGTAGAACTGGTCAAATAAAGCTGTCCTTTGGGAATTTGACTGCAGATCTCAACATTTTTAATTCAGGGGACCAACCAAATAATCAGCCTCTAGAAATAAATTACATTCAGGAAAGATCAGAAGAAGAAGAAGAAGAAGAAGAAGAATCTGATTTGAGTTTTGAGGAAATTTTTGATGAAGAGTTAGTTTTTAGAAGAAGCAGATCAGGTCCTTGAGAATAATAAAACTGTGTTAAACATTTGCTGCTTTGAATTAAATTTTGAAAAACTCTTTCTTGATGAACTTAGATTCTTAGAGAATAATTAACAACCAAATTTTCAGAACTCTACAGAAGAATTGGTTATTAGAAAACAAAACTTCACAGTACAAGAGTCTAAGTTCATTAAGAAATACAAAATGCATGACACCAATAATACCTACCTTACTTTGTTGCAAGAATTATTGAACACCCCGAAATGCTTAGAATTTCACATTATTGATTATATCATTCTGAATTTATTTAAAATCAAGGGAAGAATTTTTAACAATAAGGTAGGATTCAATGTAGAATACGAGCTCTTCATGTTGAACACTTCATGCTACATTATTTGTTTTGTTTATTTCAGAATAACAAAAAGAATTTATTCTTCTCTCATTTGAGAGTTTCTTGTTCAGTTGTAAAAAAAAAAGAAAAAAAAAGAAAGAAGAAAAAAAAAGAAAGAAGAAAAAAACAAGAAAAAAAAGAATAAAATTTTCCATCCTCCTCAGATCAAAGATAATTGCAGATTTTATCAACCGACCAAATATAAGTACTTCACTTCTTATCTGCTTTACTTTGTGCATCAATAATTGCAGATTTTATCAACCGACCAAATATAAGTACTTCACTTCTTATCTGCTTTACTTTGTGCATCATAGAGTTTGCATTGAGGACAATGCATTCACTTCTTATCTGCTTTACTTTGTGCATCATAGAGTTTGCATTGAGGACAATGCAAAATTTAGGTATATGGGTGGGAATTAGTTATTTTTCTCTTTATTTTACCTTTTTAGTTGTAATTTTGTCATTTTTTCCTTTTCCTTAAAAAAATTATAAAAATATCGTCACTTGCCAAATTGATAGAGTTATGTAATAATTATTTTATTTGATAAATTTTAAATTTTCTAATCCCTAGTTTGTTATTTACTCAAGTTTATCTTTTATGATAACTCTAAAAAGGTGATTCTATCTTATAAAGCCTAAGTTGATCGAGTAATTAATCCCAAGGAGTATTTCCATACTTAATGACCTAAGCCCAATTGGATTGGGATCCATTGGCCCAAAACTCGTTAAATGGTCGCTTAGAAAGCCCGTTAAAGTAGAAAAAAATTACCAAGGAAGAAAGAGTTAAAAATAATAATAATATAAAAAATAAAAAATAAAAATACTAATAAATATTTTATATATATAGTTATATTTATATATATGGTCTTGGAAAATATTTTAGATCAAGCAACTTGAATATTATTTTAAACAAAGAGTTAGCATGTTCTTTTTAAAAATTTTAAATTAAATTTCTAAGTTTGGCTTGGTTTTGTATTATTATAATGAGAAGATTTTCTTGGAAGTTTACCTTAGAGTTATATATAAAAACATTTTCTTGAGTCATAACTGGCTTCAATTAGATTATCTAAAGTTATCAAGTAAATTTAGTTATTTACTGATTTCTTTAATTTGGCAAGTTGACCGAATTTTTTGGGTATATTCACAGCAAACCCTCACGAGACTACAACTCGTCCACTAGGGTAACCTAGAGGTTTAAAGACTTGTTGTATGCGCTAAATACAACCACGATTCCTGCGAAAGTGAGTTAGTTTTTCTTTCATTTTTCTTTCTTTGCCAGAGGACTAGCAAAAGTTTAGGTGTGGGGGTATTTGATAATCACATTTTATTACAATTTTATATTTTTATTATCTATTTTTTAAAATAAATATACCACTAATAATTATTTTTATCTTTAATTGCAGGTTAATGAAGAATAAATTTCAAAAAATCTCATCTCTCACCAAAAGCCCTTGATTTAATGAAGAAATGAAGCAAAAGAGAAATCAAGAAGCTCATTGGAAAATCAAATTGCTAATTTATCCAAAAGCCCAAAGCAAAAGAATCAAGCCATGAATTAATGAAGCCCAAAACGCCAAAGCCCATGAAGCAAAGCCTTACCTCTTGTATGTATTGTGAACAATCCAAAAATCAAGCCAGAAGCCCATGAAGCAAAAGCCCAGAACCAAAACAATGAAGCATGAAGAAATGAAGCAAAGTTCAAAGGAAAATCAAGAAGCCCAATGGAAAATCAACAAGCAAAAGGCCCAAGAATCCAAGCCCAAAAGCTCAAAGGCTAAAAATGATTCCTTAGGGCTTAAGTCTTCATCCAAGGGCTCTCATTCATTATTGTTTACTATAAATAGGGATAGAGAGTGAGGGGTTAATGGTGTAAAAATTTTTATAACTCTTTTTGGAGAGGAGGGCTACTCTTAATTAAGAATGTTTTCCAAATTTGTAACTTTTTTTTACAATTAATAAAAGAATTTTTTCACCACTTTAAATTTTTCTTTTCTTCTCTTTGTTGGAAGATGAAGATGAACATGAAGATAGAGATTAATTTGAAGGTTTGTTTTTTTTATTTCTCTTTTATTGCTTATTAGTTTAGATTTATTTTCATGCTTGTAATTAGATTTTATTTTCTTGTTTAAATAGCCAAGAGGCTAGAACCCTCTTGCCTTAGATTTATTTCATGCTTATAGAGTAGATTTATTTTCTTACATTTAATTCTTATAATTTATTTTATAGTTTAGATTTTATAATTTATTTTGTAGTTAGATTTTAATTTCTTGTACTATTCACCTTGAGGTTAGAACCCTCTTGGGTTTAGTTTTTCTTTTTGTTTATTTTTATTTTCTTTGATTCGCCTTTAGGTTAGAACCCTCTAGGGAATCACCATTTTCTAAGAAGTAGATTCAATTCTAGATTACCCATATCTTTAATTGAATCTGCCATCTTTACTTTCTTGAATTTTATTTTTATTCTTGATTTTTCTTTTTGATTCTTGATTTTATTCATCTCTCATTGTGGAAATCATTCATTCATTGTCACATCCACTCTCACTTACATTTTGTGCCTATTTACACACTATCACCTTCTTAATCTCTTCACAATCACATTCACTCATCACTCCTATTTATCACATACACAACATAAGAATCGATTTTATATTTTCTCCTACAAAACACCTTCCTCGTGGGATCGATATCTTTATACTATAACTTGACACGGTTGTGCACTTGCAACATTTTTTTGGTACATGTTTATGCCGCATCAGTTACCATGTCAAAGGATCCTTCCACTACATGATTACACCAAAATTTCGAAGTTGTAGCGAGGGTTGAGGGTTATAATTTTACACTCTGATGGCCTTATTGATATATCGATGGGATATAAGTATCATCTAGGTCATAACCTTATACAAAACAAACCATGTGATCTGACATATACAGAATTTTAATCCACAGGGTAGATACAAGCTTAAAAGAAAAAGCAGATTACAAGATCCAACATGATTAAACCTTACAGGTCTATTACTAGAAGTGACAAAATAAAAAGTTAAAACCCAAAAAGATAGCTGGGAACTCAATAATGCATCAAGAGGAAGGTAATGAATAGCTTCTGCAACAAGAGCAGTTTCATGCATTCAAGTTAGCTGTTGTATCTGTAAGAGGAAAGGCCACATATATTTATATATTTTAGACATGGTTAGATGTTATATCAAGTTCAAGAGTATTTATTCGTTTATTGCCCATTTGGATAATCCAGTTAGCACTGTACATCTGTATTCATTGTGCCTGAAGTTTTAAACCGAATGCATGCATATCTAAATTCCATAATCAATACAGGACAGTGTTCCGTACATGCTCAAATTTATGAAATCCTATACACCGAACAAACACACACACAAAAACAACACAACACATGCTTAGCACAACTGATGAAAGGATATAAAATATACTTGAGATTGCATAATTTTAGGAAGTGAGACATACTACATCAGAAGTAATTAATAGCATTGGTTCAGCATCCTCTTTTTCATAATCTTCGATCATCAGCCTTGATATGATAGCATCAGCCTGAGACGAAATATCTTGAAGATAAGCAGCGGAATCAAACTATAGATGGATGACAAATCAATTGTGTTGTCAAAAAAAGAATGTATAAACACTGAACATTAGCTATAATTTATGATAACATAAGGATTGGAAGTGGAAACTAAATCAATCAACTTTCCTCTCAAGAATATAGAAGCACAACTTAATCCAAATATCTCCCATCAGCTAAAACTTGAAAGTGTAGATGCTTGACTTATATTGCAGGAAAACTTTCAATTCCAAGTTAATGCTTTAAAGTTTACAATGACTTCAGTATCCTTTCCATTAATATTATCTTTTAGGTGTTGAAGAAACAGTATGAGATAGAGTTTGAACTGTAAACTTCTAGAAAGACCGTTAGCATGTCCATCTATTATTATCAGCAGAGAAATATTGTCCCAAGGTGAATTACCAGTGCATATGCATCTGATTTATTCACTGTTCTGGATGGTTCTTACCAATCAATATAATATAAAATTACCAGCTTTGACCATAGACAATAATCTCAAAAAATTTGCTCACTACATATTAATATTCATAAAGTCCGGCGTACAATTGTGCCACAGCACAGCAGCTTCTCTTCTCAGAGCATTCTCATTCAGGTGTTTAAGAACACTATGCTAAATATCGCTCTGTAAATTAGGCTAATTGTGAGTTCCATATAATGTTCTTCAATATGAAAGTTTCATTCCTCGTACCATTTTACAGAAAAAAGTAAAATAAGAAAATGCTATTAGCTTATAGTCTTAACAGGAGAACCTTACCCTTCAGGCTGAAAAAAACAGGTTATAGTCCTCTTATAACAATATTTTCTTTCATCTTTTCCTTATAAAAAAAAACAGCTAATTGCAAGTGTCTTGCAATCTATTAGTTAGGGTTTATGTGGTCCCAAGTTCAATATTAATGAAATTTGTAATGCTAAGTGTGCATGTCACGCAGCAAACAACAAACATATCATGAACATTGCTAACTGTATCTACGAATTGGAGTAGTGCCTTGATTGGCTCTTATAACATCTTAGACAGTATGCAAATCGCTACTATAGAATGCAACATATGACTAAGAAAACATGTGATAAGAAAAGGTGGAGCAGGAACTGGAGAAGTATTCACCTCTAACAGTGACGTAGAGAAGGAAAAGGATCAACAAAAGATTAGCTAAACAGGAACGACTGCCATAACAAATTTATAGATAAAACATCAAACTTAATCGAGATAACTTTCCAGAGTCTTGTTTTGCTTCCCTGTCAGCCCATATACAGTGGTTACATTACCAGGTGATCCTTACAGCTGGAAAAGCACTTTCTATTGAGATACATAGCAAGATGACTATAATTATTATGACTAAGAAACACATTAGGGAACAACAATCCTTCGTAAATACTAGATATGCATCTTTCCAGAATGGATGCTAAACTTTTTCTAAAGATAAAATGCATTAATCCAGAATCACAAATGTCAATTGAATAAGTAAAAATTAACTTATTATATTATATAAGCAGACGCACTATAAAAAAACAAAAGCAAAAACAAAAAAAAAAAGAAAAAGTACACCATATATTCCCTAAAATTATAATTATTCCCTAAAATATATTCCATTGGCAACTAACCGTGCTTTTGATTTATCAATAGATCTATCAACACGATATTTTTTCTAAGCACTCATTTGCATTCTATGGCTTATCTATTTTCCGATAGATCACATAACTCACGTACCTTATTCTTTTCTACGGAATCAAGTTCTTCTCTCATGGATTCTAGTCATAAAGCAGATTCATGCGATTTCATCGCATCAGAGAAGATTAAGGGATCTTGTTCTTCTATATTTGCATTTACCGATCTACCGAGAAACAGGATGGCTCACATGAATATAAATAGTAATCATCCATCCATGAAGGTTGTGTTCTTGGCCTTTTGTTGCCTAGAACCGATTGATGAGGTACATTTTTTCCATGGGTATTTCATCATTTTTAAGGTTAGGTTCTTTCACAATATTAGAGTCATTAATGGGAACAACACCGTAATAATCATCATCTATTACAGTTAGAGGTTTTGTTTCCTCTAAAACTTGTTCCTCTTCCTCTAGGTTCTCCAGAAACGTAGTATATTTGCTTTCAATAACCTCTTTTTCTTTATTGTAGAACTTATGACCTTTTGTCTTTTTGAATATCCTATGAATCTACACTTTACTATTTTAAAATCTAACTTATCTCTAAGTTGATATGGAATGAGAACATAGGCTATAGATCCTCACTTCCTGAGATAACTCCGATTAGATTTTTTTCCATTCCATAATTCATAAGGTGTAGATATAACTGATTTGGTGAGAATTTTATTTAAAATATAGTTTGCAGTTAACAATGCTTTTCCCCAAAAGTTTTTGGAGAGACCAGAGTGAGACAACATGCATCTAACTACATTCAGTAATGTTCTGTTCTTTCTTTCAACAACACCATTCTGCTGTGGCGTATACGACATTGTTGTATGCCTTTTAATTCTATGCTGAATACAATAACTCTTAAATTCTTTAGAGTTATATTCCTCACCTCTATCAGTTCTCAAGATTTTAATTTTCATTCCGAATTGGTTTTTAACTTTTGTCTTATATCTCTTAAAGCAGTCAAGAGCTTCTAATTTTTTAGATATAAGATAGACGTGTGCAAACTTAGAATAATCATATATAAAAGTAATAAAATAATTTTTATTACTATGAGTTTTGACACTTAGAGGACCACAAATATTCAAGTGTATCAACCCTAAAAGTTCATTGGCTCTTTGTCCGCCAATAAAAGGTTTTCTAGTTATTTTACCAGTTAAATAATGTTCACATGATGGCAATTGAACATTAGATAGTGCAGAAAGTAAGTTCATTCTGATAATTTTTTTTATTTTTAAAATACTAGCATGTCCTAGTCTAGAATGTCACAATTCAGACTCAGAAATATAACAGGATAAGTAGTTCAAATTTAAAATTTTATTATCAGAATTATTACAAACTACTGGAAGAATGCATAATTCATGCTCGGGCACATATTTTTCCATAGCATACATTTTATTATTTTTTCCTTATAGAAACCCGGTTATTATAGAACCTAACTTCCAGTTCTTTTTATCATCAAGCTGGGAATAGGGATCAGATTGCGCCGAATTCCTGGTGCATATAATCATCTTTGAGGACAAGAATATTGTCCCCAATATCCAATCTATACGAACTAATATCTTCTACATTGAGATATGTATTATTTCTCATATAGATTCTCTGTTCTTCTTTCTTCAACTCGGTGAATTTTGTGACTTCATTCTTGTCCTTTGCGATATGTCTGATCGCACAGGAGTCGATCCACCAACCGCTGATATCCGTCATCACAACATTGCATTCCATCACCGATGAATTCTCTTTTGCTAGTACCCCCTTGTTCTGGATTCTTATAGCCTCTTTCATTCTCCTATTTTCACCTTGTGGGCAAGTGGGCTTACAATACCCGAACTTTTTACAATTGTAGCAGGCTCCACGGGATATTTTCTTTCTCTCTTAAACTGTTGCGATTTGGGTCCTCGCGGTTATGATTTACTAGGACCAAGGTTTTTATAGCTTCCAACATTATGCCTCTGGCAGACATAATTCAGCTCTTACTGTATCATATTCAGTTCAGTTTCTTTCCTATTGGCTATTAAGTCTTATTCTATAGCTAGGTGCATAAGAAGATCAGTGACAGATTTAATGACAGGGTTCATTCTTAATATGATGGTAGCTGCAGCAAGGAAAGAAGGTAGACTATTCAAAATGGTTGTCACTTGCATTCTTTTCAGGATTTCGATCCCAGCAGTAAATAAGTCCTTAGTCATGACAATCATCTTGTTAATATGCTCTACGATATTATCTCCCTCTTGCATACGACAAGAATTATACATATGCAAGAGGAGTTGAATGTTAACTTCAGAGGCAATGTCGTATTTTTTTTATAACATTCCATATGTCCATGAAAGTCTTATAAGTTTAAAAAACTTTGATTAAGTTATCTTCCATGAACATGAACATTAGGCTTTTTGTTATTTTATCTTTCTACTTTCACTCTTCAAACCCTTTTTTTATTCAGGTGTAGATTTATCGGTTAGGGTTAGAGCAGTGGTTTTGATTACATCATCGATATTGTCATGAATAAGAGCATATCCTATTTTTCTATGTCACATATCATAATTACTGTCATTAAATTTGTTAATTTTTTTTAATTCTGATAGAACAAGTTTACTAGCCATTTGGTAGAGAACTAAAACTGAAGTTCTAATATAAGGTTGATGTATATACAGATATACTAATAACAAAAATAAGGTTAAATTTTTTAATGAAAAAATAGAATAAATAAGTTTAAGAAAAACTTGAATTTTCCAAGTTGATGAAAGAGGCTCCAATTTGAGCGAGATTGTCAATTAGCGGTGTTGATTGAACAAGTAACTCTCTGATCCGAGTTAGTGTAGCTTGTATTTCAAAAGAGTCCAATGATAGAGCCAAAGATAATTTGATCAGATTGTCACTGATTTCGGAAGTGTTGTGGTCGGCGTCGAATTGATCTGAATTGCTAGGTTGAAGGTGGCAGCCGCTGGTTAGCGCGAATCAAAAGATTGATTGTGAAAGTACTCAAGGAAGAAACAGAAGGTTCCTTTTAAAAAAAAACTTTTAACGAGGGGGCTTTTAAAATTTTGAATAAAAAAAGCAAGAGGACAACAGAGTCACGTTCTCTGTTGGAGGCTTGAGAAGAAAAGAAAAACAAAGGCTAGCAAGATGTACTTGCTTTGCTAGGAAATAAAAAAATAAAAAATGCTTAATAGCTAGATGTGCTTGGCAAACCTCAACCTAGCAAAGCTATAACTATAGCCTTGTTGCAGCTATAACCTAGCATAGACATGGGAAGAAAAGTAGTAATAAACGAGTGGTTAAAAAAATTGTTGCAGCTATAGCTTAGGTATTAGCTAGGTTTTCTTGAGCCACGAGCCAGGGAAGACCTCAAGTGGTTGAAGAGAGAGTGCTTCTTCTTTGTTGGGAAAATAGCAGTGGGATTTGAAGATGGTGGAGAACCTTCAGCTCTGAAACTAGTGAATGTGAACAGAGAGGAAGAGAAAGAACGATAGGTTTCGTTGAGGGGACTCTGGTAATGGATAGGAGGTTTGTTTCTATGTTGGTTTGCTCAAAGAGAACACTCAACTATATATAGAGCCCAAACCCAAAAGAGAACACTCAACTATATATAGAGCCCAAACTCATCATCTTCATCCCCTCAAAACTGCCTCTGAGAGATTTTCTCTCAACAAACCGCACTTCCCCCATTGGTCACACAACACCAAGTCAAGATAACATAATTATGTAAATATAAAAGTCAATTTCTATAACGAATTGCATTCAACTTTGAAGCACATACAGCTACATTAAAAAGTCCCTCAATTTACTGACTACTAAACACACGATCAACATAACAAAATATCAAACGCTAGATTATTGTACTATCTAAATGCCAAGAATAAAATATTTACGCAGATAATGCAATTAAAATACCAAATCTCAGAATGCAAGAAAACCGCTGACCTTCGCCTCAGCTAGAACCCTAACCAATTCCTCCGGATTTTCCCTCCGAATACTCCTCTCGTCGATATCTGCAGCCTAAATCATCACTACAGTTGGCCTCTACACCAAACAATAGACTGTAATTTACAGTGCATTAATGTAAGCAAACCATGATTTCAAACTCATATCCCATCTCAGATAAAATATGTCGGCGGGCTATAGATTGAGATCCCAAGATAATCTGCCATCAAATTACTAATTCTTAGTACTTCATAACGATCAACATAAATGACTGATCTTCATCTTTATTTGTACATGAAAAAACTACATATTTATAAAAAATTAAAGAATAAACGTGAATATTTTAGCAAGCACTGACCTTGAACGATGATGTAGATTTCGCTGCCATGACTTTTTTTTGGTTCTTTTTTCCCTCTTTTTTCTTCGACTGCTTTTAATCGAGGCTAGAGGAGCTGGTGATAGGAGGAAAAAGCGAAGGCTAGAAGAAAGGGACAAACTTTTCTGAACGGGTCATCGGGTCAAAATCCGTAAATCGGGTCGGGTTTGTTTGCAAATATCCACTCCTTCCTCCTAATAAGGATTTTTATATGTCAGTCACTCACTCTTGAATAATTTCATATTCGGCCTTCCCATCTTTGAAATTGCTCACAAATCCCTCAAACCCTTAGAGGTCACGCAAAGTGTTCCCTCAATGATCAAAATACCCCTAAGCTTACCTTGTTTAGCTGTTTTGAACTCGTTTTGAAAGGGTAAAATACATTTAACACCCCTAAACTTTGGAGGATTTTGCACATAACATGCCTCAACTTTGTTTATTCCACTTAACCCTAAACTTTTGGGTGTCTCACTTATAATCCCTTGTACTTCGAAATTTTTACAACATCAATACCTATTAATAGTGAATGACCAAGATTCCCCTTCTTAACATAACTCCCAGAAATAGAAAAGAATAAAGGGGTACTCTAATAGATGGATGGGCCACCTCCCGAACTTTACAGTTTCACTTTGGAGGGATTAAGGTGGACAAGTTGGTCTAAAGTGCAATAAACAAAATTTAAGGGGTCATGTGCAGAACTCCAAAGTTTAGGCGTTTAAGTGAAGATTACCCATTGTGAAAAAGGAAAATTTTTAGGGGGCAAACATAAGTAGGCTTTGAGGAACTCATGAGTAATTTCAAATATTTGAGGGACTAACCTCTACAAAAACCCTTCTCTAACAACATTTTGGGACAAAAAAGCTGCGTGAATGGGGTTTTTCCTGCAAAATCTTGGAAATCTCTCCCACTCCCGGCTTCTTTTAGAAAATACAAATGTTTGTAATCTTTATCAACTTTTCCCGTGTAAAATATTAGGGAAGTGACTTGATGGGTTTCTTTGACGGGGCTGCGGTAACAGGTAGGGGGTTTGTTTCTTTTGTTATATTCTTCTCAAAGACAACACTTAACTATATACAGAAGTCAAACTCATCATCTCCACCCCCTCAAAACTACCTTTGAGAGATTTTCTCTCAACAACCTCATTTACCACGATTTTCTCAACTGAGAAACGTTGATTTGGTCACATAAGACCGAGTCAAGATAACATCTCCCACTTGACCGAATTAACCAAGTGACATGTCTCCCACTATACGTGAGATCAGATGTTTCTTCTTACCATTACTCCTATTATTCATAGAGAGTAACTCTTATTTTATTATTCATAAAATTTTACTTGGCCTTATTTATTCCTAAGTCCTATCAAACTTACATGTTTGATAAAAGATTATGCTGACATTTTTTTTGTCAAAGGATCAGCAATCATATCTATAGTAGGGATATAAGTCACTTTAACTTCTCGCTTTTCTATAATATCTCAAATATAGTGATACTAGATCTCAATGTGTTTTCCTTTAGAGCTATTCGTGTCACTATTGATTAAGTTAATTGTTGCTTGATTATCACAATAAATATCAATAGGTCCTTCTAACAAATTGAGATTTAGATCAATCAAAAATCGTCTTATCCAGACAGCATGTGTAGTTGTCATACTGCAAGCTATATATTTAGCTTCTTGTGTATATCTAGCAACACACCCTTATTTCTTGCTACCCCAAAAAATAGCTCCTCCTCCAAAGATGAACAAGTGTCCCAAAACAGACTTTCCATCATCTTTATCACCTCCGAAATCAGCATCAGAGTAACCAAAGAGATCAAGCGAATTGGCTTGAAAAACTGATCTATGAGTCAATGTACACTAGTAGAAATCCATGTATTCTAGACGGAATATCCTAGACGGATTTTTTTCCGTCTAGGATGTATCATTCTAGATGGAAAAATTTTCGTCTAGAAAATTCCGTCTATGATGTAATATCCTTGTAGGCGTATAAAACTGCCTATAGGTCCCTTAACACAGCTCGACGACGCTGATTCGACAAACCGACCATCGGACAACGTATCCAAACACGACTGTTAGTCCACAACACCGAAGCCAAGTGATACGCGACGAAACGGATTAACGAGGCTACGAGGATAACGAACCGCACGCAAACAACGGAATAAATCCACTCGCGTGCGGAATTTAGCTAACGGGTTGAGGAATCAACGAGTCATCCAACCAAGGGCGGACTCGGACAATCACGATCGAATCAAGATCAGTTTCGGACTCGAACTCAGAAGTGGATTTACTGCCAAATCAGGAATCGGATTTACTGCCAAATCAGGTCAACAAATCGAGTCCAAACAAGTCAACCACACAACCGAATCACGGACAGAAAGACGGAAAACGGCACCTAGAGGGGCTCGGTCGAAACCGATCTGAGTGCCTATAAATAGGCCTTCAGGTTCATTTGTTCAGGGGTTGGAAAATTTGGAGAGGCGAAGCTCTGCTGGATTCAAGACTCAAAACTTAAAAAGATCCAAGCTTTGGGACTTCGAGGACTCGCTCATCCAGATCTGGTGCTCGGCGATCGTCAACGCCAAAAAAGGCAAGAGTTCGAGAGGACCGGATCTCAGATCTACGCAGGCGTACTCCGGATCAAAGCTTGGTCTTTGATCCCGAGATTTGGGCAATTATTTCCTTGGTGAACTAATCCCCCCGACTATATTTCCTTCGTGAAATAATACCCGTCGTACTGCGTAGATCCGACCGGATCTAGATCACGCGGTGGTCAACGGATAAACCCCGGCGCAGGCAAACAACCCACGCAAGCGAGCGACCGCAAAACAGGAGCTCGTGATTTGTTCGACAAGAAAGAGAAGAGTTGTAATTTTCATTTCTTTTTATTTGATTTTCGTTGTAACCGGATCTTATAAAAAGACCGGATCTTTGTAACTCAAAAAGCTGTTATTTAAGATGACAATGGAATCAACAATGAAGAAAGATAGCAATTTTTCCAGACGGCGACATCTGGCGACCACAGTGGGAGCCACCGATTCGCAGCCGCCGATCGGAGCGTCGCAGCCGCGGATCTCAATCCCGGTCGTGGAGGAGTCGAATACGAGTCGACCAGCCAGAAGTTCGAGGATGTACTTGTCGTCCTCGTCCGGATCAAACCTCCCCCCGCAATGTCCAAGAAACTCTCGCTCCAGGAGAAAAACTCGGCTGGTTTGAAGACGTTGAAACACCAACGAAAGATCTAGCCAAGTCCGCTGGATGCCAAAATGCCTGGCATCGGTGAGATTCCTTCGCAAATTCCCAACCAGGTCGTGAGCTGCTCTGGCCAACCCTTCTGCGGCAGAGGGTGTGGTGACTCTCTCGAAGAGAGCCCGCCAAAGGCAACGTCAACGCCTTGCGAAACAGTTCGCAAAGGCCATGGAGTCCGTTGACGGGATCCGCTACAACGCGGATCTGAAGAACAAAAGAGGCAAGCAGCCTCAACAATCAATGAATGGTGGTTCCTCCAAGCCGCTAACAATGGAATGGGTCCGTGTCAAACGGAACCGATTAACGCTGGAGGAGCGCATTCGCAAGCGCCGCGCACTATCAGCGCAAGCACGGGCTCAAGCTGAAGAAGCCCGTAGGAAGTTGCAGAAAGAGGTGGCCAAGAAGCCACTATCAACCAGCAAAGTTTGGAGGCCAAAGTCTGAAGCGGCGATTCAGACTAAGGAGCAACAACTGTAGCCTCCGAAAGTTCAACCTCCGGCGAATCAATCCAGACCGCCGATGATTTCCACAACTGCTCCGGGAGATCCCGCAGGACCATCCCAGAAAAGGAAGTCAGTCTTGGAGCGCCTCGGTCCACTTCCCGAGGAGCGAAGCAAAGCTCCAATCCAAGGACATTTGGGCCCACTAAGAAAGCCCCGAACGAATCAACATGCTGGGGGTCGCCGCAACCATCAACATGACAAAGAAATCATGGCACCCAAGCGCACTACCTTGCGCATTGAAGTCCAGGAGCCCGTTGAGAATTCACGCCCACAAAGGCGCGTTTCGAGGCGCGTGACTCTCGAAAGTCCGAAGAAGGTAAATCGTTCTCAGAAGGAAACGTTATCGTCTGATGATGATTACGTTATACCTAAAAAATCGTGCCAACATACGATAGGTTGCTCCGACTTTTAAACGGACGAGCTGTACTATCGTGCTGGGGGTGCGAGCAAAGCCAGAAAGAGAAGTCCTCGAAGGCTAGAAACTCAGTGCCCTTGTTCAAAGCTCATTCGGGCGGTACTGTCTGAGTGCAACTACATCAAGGCAGCCCCCGAGAGAGTTTCGGTGTTCGAAAGACTTAGCACCGAAACGTCAAAACCAAGGCATAGGCGTTTCCGGCAAAGAAGAACAGTGGTTGAAGACGGAGAATTTCCGAGGGTCACCACCAATATGACCAGCAAAGGGACATCGGCACGGGACAATCTAGAGTCAATTCGGAACGCACCCCGGCGTCTAACCCGTCTGCAATCTGGAGCCATCAAACGAGCAACTTATGGTAGGGTTCGGACAAGAATGCCTTCAGAAGATGAAGAATCTGATGCCGGCTCTGCGGTTGCATCAGATAATATGGTATCCAGCGAGGGGCAACCTCGCGAGGCACTTATGATAAGTGCGGAACAGGTGGCCAAGATGCTTGAAGAGGCCATGACTAAACAACAGGAGAGCTTCAGGTTCGAGATGCAGATGGCCATGCAGAACATGAGAGAAATGCATGAGCAACAAATTCAGGCACTGACGAACCAGCAAGGCGAGCCGAGCCACCGTAACCAGGTCATTCAGGAAGATGAGGACACGAATGCGAATGAAGTTCACAATGCCACTAATCCTCCAGTCAATGCAGGGGGTGGTAACGAGAATGCTAGCGAAAATACAGGTGAAAGCTTGAAGCTTAAAAACCTCGAGAGCAAAATCAATACGTTGATTTCCGCTCAAGGGATAAAGAAGACAGGCATTCCGTGCCCGTACCCCAGAGAATGGGAATCAATCCCATATCCGGCGAAGTTCAATCTCATTAACTTCACGCCGTTTAATGGGATGGGTTCGCCCACTCAGCATGTGATTTATTTCAAATCACACTTGGGGGTAATCTCTGGCA